TGAAATGATCTACAAGATCGTTGCTCACATGGCTGCCAACGACAGAGCAATCATCGCTGAAGGCAACTGCGGTTCACCACGAAGCATCAAAATTTTCCTCGGAGAGTGCAACGTGGATGCCTTGTACGGTTAATTTCATCCTTCCTTTATTATGCATGTATTTGAATTTACGCATCTGGAAAGTTTCATCTTCTTCCCTCTGTATCTTGTCCTTGGATTTGGAATTGCGAATCTGGTCGAGTTAACCCAGAAATAAAAATCCACTTACGAGACTTTTTCGTTATGAGCGTTTGTAACGATGTAATTAGGGATGATAAATAAGCTGGTTTATGAGAATATTATACATGAAATCATCCTCCTTTGTCAACATTTTCTGCACAGTATCGACATTGTCAGCCTAATTTGATATGTTTTATTCTAATTTGGATTTAATTATAGTTAAATAATTGCATACATTCCGATAACCCAAAAGAGCATATGAAAGTTTTGTCGATGGAATGACCGATTTTTCAAATTTCAAATGATTTTGTCCCGGACTGCAAATTGACAAACCAAATGGTCCAGGAAGCAAAAGAAAAGACAAGTAATGGATGATTGTCTTGGGGTGAGATTCAATTCAAATATCCAATTTGTCCATATCAGTCATGGTCCCTCTCCAACGGTTGCCTGCTATTTTCCAACGAAAAAAAAAAACAGCACTAGAATTTGAACTATCTGTGGAGTCTGAGTGAAACTGCGGATTTTTAGTACTGTTTTTAAAAAGGCGCTAACTCATTTAGTACTACGGTTAGTAGTATTCTTATTTATGGGTAAATGAGAGATTTCTTTATCAATTTAATGGTTATTTGGAAAAGTAAAATGATTTTCGCACTTTATTTTTCATGTTTTGTTTTGAAATCGACGTATATGGAAATAAGAGGAAGAATCCAATTTATCTAGAAAGAGAAGGAAAGTGTGAAAGTTACAATTCTATAACAAAAAAAATTAAGCAACACATTACTTGCACTCTATAAACATGTAGGGATTAGGAATTTAGGACGGAAAATGCCTTACTAATAGTCATTTTGTGTGTTTTGCTTGTGTGCTATGGCCTAAGATAATTGTTACTTAATCTAATCCAAACTTTAATGGTTGGTGTATTGGAAAGCGAGATAAACTTTAGAAATCCAATTAAGTTGAAACTCTCACAGATCATTTATTGGGATCATAGCTCTGCTTTTGTGTATTGTTTGACCCGGACACTAATAGTATGTTGCTGTCTCATGTGGTACTAGAACTGCATGAAGAAAGAGATAAGTCTATCATCAATATATCTTTTATATATAATAATAATAATAATAATAATAATACATACATACATACATACATACATACATACATAAAAAAGTAAGGTAACATTTTATTCATGTATATTGTATTGTATTCTCGTATCCATATTTGTGTTTCACTTGTATAAAGATGGTGCGGTAGCGAGTTTAAGGGTTACGCAAGATGTACACAGTTCGCGTGCGTCCAATGTTTGGTTGGCGGTATGAGCCGCATGTGACCGGTGGCTCACACCCCTTGCACAAATAACACGTAGCCTGAGGGCTAAGGCATAAGCCACATCGAATCTGTTATTTAATTATCACACTCAAAAGTAAATTGAAAAAGACAAGGAAACATAGTAATTTAAACTCATTAAACAAATGGGTTGGTCCATTCCGATTCCAATCTCAAGTGGAAGTACAAAGTGAACATTATTTATTTTTCAAATTAAAGTGTGCCCAAACTCGTACCCAAAACAAACTAAATCAAGTAGATTATCTGCTTGTTTGAATGTGATTTTAAATTATTGAAAATACTTTTAGAAAACAAGCTTTTCTGTTCCAAAAACATTTAAAGTGCTTCATACAAGAAGCACCAATTAATGCGTTTCTTGCAGGAAGCACTTTAAGTGTTTTTCTAGGATTTACGTACATTTTTACAAAGAATTGGTTTGAAAACTATTTTACCAAAAACGCTTTCAACCATTCTAAAACAACTTCCAAATGAGCAATATATTAACACTACAAATTACATGGTTTTTACAATATAAGGGATATCTATATGAAACGTATTTAAATAACAAGAAGAAAGATTCGAGCATGATTACAAAAATGATAGAACACTATTGTAGTTAATTTATATTTTGTCAAATAGTTAAGTGGGGTTTTGAAGGAGAAGAGGGTGAGAAAGTCTAGAATCGGGGGTGAGGAGGCCCACAAGAATTCTTGACTTACCCTCCTTACCCAATTATACTCAACTTGACTAAACTTACGTTAACTATTGTTATAATTTCTGTTTAGCCGCAAAATCCCAATGCATGTATAAACAAAAAAGTATATTAAAATAAATACCCTAAAAAAGTATATTGTCATACATATTAACGAACCCTAAACCTCAATCCAAGAAAGTAAACAAAATAATTTCTCATGAATGTCGAAAATAAATACTCGAAGTTGTTTGAATCCACCGAATCTAACATATTCTTATACCCATTTAGTTATGCTGCAATGAGCTGCTCGAATATAAACCTTAAATTCGTACCATATAGGCTTGCATGCCCTCCTATCCTATCATCACAAGATGAAATTTGTTGATTAACGGACCGAAGTCCGATTATGATTTTATGATGAGAGTTGAGGGAAGAAGAGCATCCACCTGCAATTCTTACTGATGTGCTAATACAATTGCACGATTGTGCTTTGTGACGATTTATTAGTTTTTTACTATTTTGTGCTTTTCGATGATAATAGTTAACTATAAGTTTGTTAGTGCTGGAAACATTTTTCTTTCGACCAGGTTGAAATCTCCGACAAAATTTTTATCGAGACCTATTATGCATGGTATCTTCATCCTGATTTGTACATTTTCTTTTTCATCGATGAATATCGTACCTACTCTCAAAAATTTCACCATGACATATAACAGTATAAATAATTGTTGGAGTGAGGGAATATAAAACGTCAAAATATGATAAGAGTAAATATGGCAAATTAATGAGCAATGTGGCATTTATAACAATAAATGTTGTAGCAAGAAAACATTATAGGAATTAATATAGGGTGCTTTTATTAACACCCCATTCTCTTGTTTTTTGGTTTTGTTTTTATAAATTGATATGCATCAATTCTCTTGTTTTTTGGTTTTGTTTTTTTGTTTTTTATCTAATTTAAATTAGGGTTGAAAAGGAAATTCAGACCAAAAAACAAAAGAAAATAAAATGGAGTGTATTTATAACATTGTGGGGTCCCAATAAAAAAAGGCCATTAATATATGGATGCAAATTTAACTATTGTTTGATTTTAATTTTAATTTTGGTGTGCTACCTTTTTTTTTTTAGTCGAGAAATAGTGTTAGTAAGTTAAATGTTATATTAGTCACCGAAGAAATTCGAACTCAAGCCATCATGTAAAGACACAACATATTTTCACTACTGTGATAAAGAGCTACTTGTTGTGCTACCTTTTCTAAATGTACGTGTGAACGGTGGGGGAGAAATCAAATTATACATATGATTCTCATTGGATAACTTATTTATGGATTTTAGGGTTTAGTTGAAAATATGTTACACTATGATTGGATAAAAAAAATTTAAGATTACTAAAATTTTAAAATGACAGAAATTGAAATGATGAGATTTTATTTTCTAGAATTTGTGAATTTTCTTGTTTGGCTAACCTAAAAGAGCAAATGAAATTGAATACGGAATTTGTTATTTTTAAATACTCAACCATAAAAATTAGGAAATGATACATATTTACATGAAATTTAAACCTAGGAATTGGAGGTCCCAAATTATAATTTTTTTTCTACAGGAAATTCTAAATTTCTATGTTTATGAATCCAAACAAGAGAATTTGTGCATGTTAATTTATAAATTCTGATTTTTACCCAAATTCTAAGTTTATTTCTCATCCAAACATAGCGTTAGAGTTTGTTTGAATGTGTTTTTAAAATGATTGAAAACATTTTTGGTGAAAATATTTTTAGAAACAATTCTTAATAAAAATGTTAGTAAATCTTGAAAAAGCATTTAAAATGCTTTCTAAAAGAAGCACATAATTGGTGCTTATTGTAGAAATCACTTCAAGTGATTTTGGAACCCAAAAATATTTTCTCTAAAAGTTATTTTAAAAGCACATCCAAACAAGCCATTAAACTATTTACATATTACATATTGACCAAAAATGAACAATCACATAATATTATTGACAATATTAAAGTTTGATTTCTTGCCTGAAAAGGTGTTTTTAGTGAGATCAAATTTTTCCCACCCAAAATTGTGTGGATATGGCTCTAATTATTAACTAACACGTCTTTTTTCAAACTTTCTGTAATTTTTTTTTGTTAGAATTTAATATGTGTCAGTTAATAATTAGAATTACAAAAACACCGGAACGATTTTGATTTTAATTGCAGAAGATATGATCTCATTTTCCGTTGCCAAATAAGTTACAAAAGAAGAAAAGTACGGCATGTGGGACCCCACTACAACACCAATCCATGTTTGTGGAAATCTTGTTTAAGCGCGAAATCAGACCAAATAGTGTGTCCCCACCCACTACAACGTTCGGAATTTAGGAAATTATTATAATTCTTCTCACTTGAGATAAATAATTCAAAAATGCTAAAAACAAAAACTTCGAGCTCTGCTTTGCAAGGTTGATGAGAGATTTTTAAGTGTATTTAGAACACGAAAACATACGTTATTTATTATAAACTTAGAAATTTTTTTTATTTATTTAAATAATAACATATGATTTATCACTTGACATATTAAAAAATTTCTCTACGTTGACTATAGCACGACGGATACAGCGGCCTTTTTATTTTCGGAATATAATTTATCAAATAATCTAGTCGGAACTTTTAATTCATTCAACTTATCTCCACACCCTTCTACGTCGCCGTTTGGGCTTTCAAATCCAAAATATTCCTACGGAGTCACCAACCACGTACAAGATTTGTTGGGAATTTTGAAAATCTATAGCAATGATAACATTGAAAAGTAAAGCAGAAAAAAAATCCAAAAATTAATTAAGAGAAGAAAGTAGAAAGAAATAAGTCAGAATATAGTTCAGAGTGTGTGAGTGACGGATTTCCACACCCCGAAGAAACAGAGAGATCATTAAACAAGCTCATCTTCCACAATAGCTTTTTGCAGAAGCACTTTTTCTCTTCCAAAATCTCGCTGATTTTACTTTTTCTCTGAAATCCCTCTCTCTATCTGGCTTTCTGCCTTGCCATATGTAAGTTGTCTGCGGGAAGATTCTGGTGAAAAAAAAGAGTTCTTTTTTTTTTTTTTGAATTTTTGATTGTGGGTTTTGATTTTTTGATTTTTATACTTTTTGTGCAGGTAAAGGAAGACGAAGAACCCAGAAGAAATATGTTCACTGAAGGACTTGATAGGAGTGCCCTTCGTTGGGTTAGAGAGGTTTGTGAAGAAAAATCATTACCCTCTTTCCTTTTTTGAATTTACTAAAATATAAATAAATAAGGAAGGGTTTAATTTTTGCTGTTGGTTGAGTGAATGCTGCTTCTTATTCTGGTGTTTTTAGGAATTTAGGGTCTGGGTTTGTGTTAATTTTGCATGTGTGCTTCAAAGTTCAAAACTTTGTTCTGAATTCTGAAATTTGGTTTTATGGGTTTTGTTTCTTAATCAGAAGGAGGAAGTTCCATTTTCGGGTTCTAATTTGAGGAGTAGAATTGATCCGATTACGCGCATTCGCAGTGGTAGTGGCGGCAGGGGGTTTGGACTCCCCCCTCCGTCTAAATTTAGAAGCGGGCACTTGCCCTCCAATGCCATACCGGTTCAGACAATTCCGGTTGATGGGGATGAGAGTGGGTCTGCTTCTGACAATGATAGAACCACTGATTCGGAAGATGGAATATATGGAGGCAGGTACTCGCTGGATTCATCACCGCAAGATGAGAGGGTTCCTAGTGCTGCTGCTTGTAGGTATGGGAAGCCGTCGCAAGGGCAGCCCAATTATGGCAGTGATTATACTTACTCAGACGTCAGTTCCTCGATGGACACTGTTGTGGGGAGACATAAACATGTGGCAGAGAGGTTGGTGAAGGGAGCGAGGAAGTATCCAGTTGCGCAGAATGGTTATTCTGAGGATGAGTCATCTGATTCGGCTGCAAGCTCAGAGTTTTCTACTTCACAAGCAGGAGGAAGCATCAAGAGTGGGTTGTCACATAATAAAGCTTATGCTTCTGAGGGATATGCCTCAAGCGTGCCTTCACGTAGGAACTTGGAAAGTGCTGCTGAAAAGGTTTGTGAATTTATATCCTTAATAGTACCTGGCTTGTTGTTTGATATCCAATAATCCAAGACAGCATGCTATCACACTCCTACTTGAGACTTCTACAGTTATGCTGGCTAAATCAATGTTAGCTAATAACTATTGGATACCATTTCCATTTATTTATCGGTAAAACTAAAATTGATAAGATACAAAAGTTTTGTACATGTATCAAGGGAATTTCTATCTGACAGGCCAGCATTGCAGCATAATAACATCTGCGGTATCTAAACAATGGTGTACTACCGTACTAATACTCTTTCTGAACCTGTCCATTTTGCAGAATTTGGATTCCAGAAACCTGCAGAGTAAAATGTTTTCCGATGACGAGGTTCCCAGTGCACCACCCTTTTGTGGTGTAACTCAGGAAATTAAACAGGATGATGCAAAAAGTCCAACTAGAGTGCATAGGACACCGCATGCTACCTCTTCATCTGAATTCAGAACAACCACTGGTAAAATGCAGGACGGCGTTACTGGAAATGGGAATCTTGAACAGTTCGCAAGGTATGCATGTTACTACAGTCCTCTTTGGGAAAAATGGCATGTGTCTGTGCTTATGTTGGAAAGAGACATGAAACTTTTGGTTTCACAAACTTAAGTACTTGAACCATGCATGCTGCTATAACTTTGATGTTTCTCAGTCACAGTCATACATTTTGTCACATATGTATGAATTTAGTTTCGGTAAATGGACCAACTTATTGTCAATCTCTGTTAACAGAACTACAACTAGTTCTGAAGCTGCCACGCCATCTTGTCCAGCTCGCCTCCCAACATTTTATGCAAGGTATCTCTAACCAATGCCGTAATTGTACTTGGATTTTAAATTTAACCCTTGTTTCTGCCATCTAAAATTTATAGACTTTATGTGCTGTAAACCAATATCAGTGCTCTAGGGCCATGGCATGGTTTCATTGCATATGAAGCATGTGTGCGTTTGTGCCTTCATGCTTGGGCTATGGAATGCATGGAAGCTCCCATGTTCTTGGAAAATGAATGTGCTCTTCTACGAGATGCATTTAGGTGAGTCCATGCTTTTTATCACCTTATTCTTCTATCGTACTCTTAATTTATACGGATTTTCGATACATTCTTATTGAACCCTGTATAATTATATATCTGTCGCCAGTTTTGTGTTTGAATCCTTGCATGAATTCCTTGTCTAATCAATGTTATGCAATGTAACAAATTAAGTAACTGTGTTTTTTTGTGCAACTTTATAGTTTGACGACTATGCCAGAAGTGAGTTAGGTTACAATGGGTTTTGAGATTAAAGTTTGAACGGACTTCATTGATGTTGACAATTTCTTTTATCAGAAGAATTAGTAGAATATTTAGTGTTGAAAGCTTAAAATAGTACAGTGCATGATGTGAAAAACTACAATTTTATCTTTTCCAGTATCACTACTAATCTTGTTCAAACCTTATTGTCAAACTGTAGTTTACGACAAGTGCTTTTACAATCAGAGGAAGAACTGTTGGCAAAGCAGACTTCAGAGCTTGCAAGTGAGAAAGCTGCTCCAAAACCAAAGAAAATTGTTGGCAAGATGAAAGTGCAAGGTAGCATCTAACTCCTGTTTTTAAATTCTTACTAGTCAGGTGCTTGGTTATGAGGTTGTCCTGAATTCTTTTCATTGTGCAGTGCGTAGAATTAAAATGGGCCTGGACCCACCTACTGGCTGCAGTATTTCTGCTCTAAGGCCACCAGTAATCAAACTGGAAACAATTCGTTATCATCTCTCCAGCTTCCAGTCTACACTTGCTTCTGGATGGCAAGCCCTTAGAAATATTCGAGTTGCACCTCGTGTACCGTCAAATGGTTCTTTTTCACGTCAAAGCTTGGCGTATGTGCATGCTGGTACTCGGTATATAAAACAGGTGTCTGGACTCCTGAAAACTGGTGTAACAAGTCTACGCGACAGTTCGTCCTCATATGAAGTTGTGCATGGTATGAGCATGGAAAATTCATTGCTCTCTCTCTCTCTTTTTCTCTGCATGTTATTTTGAAATTCCCCTTGTACCACAAAGATTGATGATAGAAGTTCATTCATATAACCTGCACCATCTCTTTCACTATTCTCAATATCCCACTTCACCGGAACAGATCTATTGTCTCCAAGAGTATAATTGATAGTGTGCAACCTTTCATACAACTTAGATGAAGGAAACTGATAGATATAGATATAGAAATATGCAAATAATTTCCACGCGCTAATAGATATAGAAAATGTGCTTATGCTATCATTAAATCCTAGATTTATTTAGTTAGTATTTGCTTTTCAACTGTGACTAGCATATTCTTGTATCAGAAATTTATGGCCACTAATTAGGCTGCCTCATTTTGTTTTTGCATGATACAATTTTCGGATAATCTACTACTGTGTTTGTACTTTGTAGTGTATATAACATAATTCTCTTCAAGTGTCTTTCATTAGTTACTGGAATGTTAATCATCACTTTTAAATGGAATCAGAAACGTACTCTTGTTTGTTAAGACTGAAAAGTTCAACTGAAGAAGATGCGGTCAAGATGCAACCTGGATCCAGTGAAACTCATGTCTTGTATGTTCTCTTGTTCTTGTTTTTTCTAAACTAAATCTGCTTGAGAAAGTTGAGAAAGGTACTGACATGTCTTACAGCTTTCCAGATAGTTTGGGAGATGATCTAATAGTCGAAGTCCTTGATTCGAAGGGAAAGCATTTTGGTAGAGTCATTGTTCAAGTGGCAACTATTGTTGATGACCCAGTAATGCCTTCTTAATCTTTATGGTAGCTTTAGGGTAAATTAATATTATAATGGTTCCAGCGGAAAGGCTCATCTTATTGTTGATTGCAGGCTGACAAGCAACGCTGGTTCTCTGTCTATAGTGAACCAGAACACGAACTTGTGGGAAAGATGCAGCTATCTACATATTATTCAACAAGTTCAGATGACAACCCCAAGGTGTATATTTGTTACTTTGATATCCTTTAATATATATTTTTGAGAAGAAAAATATATTTTAGCCTTGTTTATTAAGAGTTTCTCCATTTTTTGTTTCATTAATGAATTATATTTTTGGAATCTAATTCAATGGTAATCCTTCAGAAAGGGAAAAAAAAAAAAAAAAAAAAATCTTATTTTAATTATCATACAAGGTTGCAAGCACACTTTTATCTTGACGGTTCAAGACATAGATGTAAAAATGATCTTCTCATTACTTTTTCGTTATCAGGGGTTAGGATCTGTAGGTATAGAGTATATATGTAGGCATGACAGACAGGAAGCATCTCTTTGTTTTTTGTTTTAACTGGTGGTTAACAGTATTTAGCTCAAGGTTGTACAAATTAATGTATACCCTCGTTAAATATTGTGCTGGTCTTCTAAAGATGGTGGAGTGATAAGAGTTGAATCTTTCCTTCAGCGATTTCTCGTATTATTCTTCAGCAATATATGTTACCCACCACGTCCCAGTCCTGGGCCATAAAAGGATAGGGGAAAAAAAACAAGAAAAGGGAAGAAAGCATATAGTTTTGTTTATAATTATTTTGACTTTTAATATTGTAAAAAAAAAAAAAGATCATTAATCCATTAGCTGATTGTAAAAACATGGATACTTCCATTATATACAATGTATTGCAAAATGGCTTTTGTGATTGTTTTTGCATTTCTGGTTCAGTGTGGCTCTGTTGCAGAAACAGTTGCATATGACCTTGTTTTAGAAGCTGCTATGAAGGTTCAGCATTTTCAACAAAGGAATCTAGTGTTGCATGGTCCATGGAAATGGCTTTTAACTGAGTTTGCAACATATTACGGTGTTTCCGATGTATACGTTAAGCTGAGGTAATGGAATGTTGTTGGATTGATTGCTTGATTCTGTTAAAATGATTTGACCATGTGAATCATTGTTATAAACCGCTTCGTCTTGTTCACTGATTTCATATCCGAGTCATGCTCTCGATAGGTATCTCTCTTATGTTATGGATGTAGCTACACCAACAGCTGATTGCCTCAACTTGGTGTACGATTTGCTAAGGCCTGTTTTGATGAAAGGCGACAACAAGAGCATGTTGAGTCACCAAGAGGTACTTGTGAAGCATGTATCATTGTTTTTTCTTTTGATGTTAACTTTTATGTTTTGACTAACTTTATTGTTTTGGAATGGGGTTTTAGTATTGCATTCTACTTGTCATTTCTCTTCTAACAATACTTTCTATTATCACAGAACCGAATCTTAGGAGAAACTAAAGATCAAATTCAACAAACTCTTGCCTTACTTTTTGAGAATTACAAGTCCTTGGATGAGTCATCGCTTTCAGGAATTATGGAGGTCTTTCAACCTGCAACTGGGCGTGCTGCACCTGCATTGGAGCCTGCTGTCAAACTTTACACGCTTCTTCATGATATCTTGTCTCCCGAGGCGCAAACTGCTTTATGCCACCATTTCCAGGTTTGAGAAACTTCCAGTTTATTTAACAATGATTTGCATAGGTGGTATATCTATTCTTTTCTCTAAGGATTATGTGACTGGCCAGGTTGCTGCAAGAAAGAGATCACGGAGGCACTTAGCTGAGACTGATGAATATATTACCAGCAACAGTGATGGAATTTTGATTGATACTTTAAGTATGGCGACTGCTTACCAGAAAATGAAATCTCTGTGCCTTAACATTAGAAATGAAATCTGCACTGATATTGAGATCCATAATCAGCATATACTCCCCAGGTATACACCTTAAACCATCAAGTGACACTCTCAAATCTGATTTCAATATTTTGAAAAATATTTTTCCATTTGATGCACTATCTTCTTTTGTATGCTTCTTTAGATTTTTAAACAGTTGATTTGTTTTATTGTTAGGAAAATTATGATAAAATGCTATTATTTGCGGTTACAGTATTGTAAGCCTATGGCAAGTGATATTTTGACATAGGATGTTGAATCTTGTGTTGAGATTTGATGTCTTATGTATGTATAATCCTGTTCCTGTCAAATTATCTTTAATGAATATAATTATTCTGCGTGCATGTATACTCTGAGATGAAGTGCTAACTGCTATACTGAATGGCTCGAAATAGATGAACACTTCCCCTATCTCTGGTCAATGGATCTTGTTATGGAATGTGAGGGGATGCCCCTTGAAAATTAAGGCCCTAGGTGAAAAGAAAACTAGAAATTGGCCTTTTCGATAATTATATCTAATATTAATAGTGTCAACTAAGTCTCTATATTATTAAGATTTTTAATTAATCATTTCCCTCGCATTCTGAGATGCAATAACCACTGATTTCAGTCTTTGTTATCATTTTATTATCATTTAACTATATTCTTGCATAATTAATTTAGTTTGTTTAATATTTCTTGTGAGATGGTTGATCATGTTAAGAGATTAATTTGTCTTTCTTTATGTTTGTGAAAATATAAAAAAGTTGTTTCTTTTATTTGAACCACTGCAGTCACGAAAGACTAAGATAATCTCCCCATATGTAGTTATCCATTCTTTCAGGTCATACTTTATGTTTCCACACTGCTTATCTGCATAGTTTTCTCTTGGTAGTTTGTCTGGCTGTTTGATGTTGTACAGATAAAATTCTGACGCTTTATCATTCATTGCACAGTTTCGTAGACCTCCCACATCTGTCATCATCAATATACAGCACAGAGCTCTGCAGTAGATTGCGTGCTTTCCTCATTGCTTGCCCCCCAACGGGTCCTTCATCCCCCGTAGGAGACCTTGTTATAGCCACAGCAGATTTCCAAAGAGACCTTTCCAGTTGGAACATTGGGTAATGTTACTACTATTACTACTACGACTACTGTTAACACTTGATTATATTTCTTGGTTTGCATCGTTCTAACTCATTTTCTTTGTTATCTCAGTCATATTAAAGGTGGAGTTGATGCAAAAGAATTGTTCCACCTCTATATTATGCTATGGATTCAAAATAAGCGCGGGTCGTTGCTCGAAGCATGCAAATTAGACAAGGTACTTATGAGTCCATATCATATTTTGTGGTTTATCAACAAATTTTGTAGTGGAATTTTTGGAGGGCAATGTTAAAGGATGCTTCTAAAGATATCCTCATTTATGTAAATTGGTGACGCTTTAACATTCCAGTTCAATAAGGTGTCTAAAAGTTATACATTTGCAGGTAAAGTGGTCAGGAGTTAGGACACAGCATTCCACGACTCCTTTTGTGGATGAAATGTATGATCATCTGAGAGGAACTTTGAGTGACTATGAGATCATCATTTCCAGATGGCCTGAATATGCGTGCGTTCTAGAGAATGTAAGTTGGGTTCCTTGTGTCTCAAAGTCTTTTGTCAACTTTGTGTTTCTTGTCACCATCGTTCATTATGAACATATCCCAACAATTTATGCTGGGTTTAGACATATGTAACCCATCCATGAATGTACGATCCACATTATGAACGGCTCATTTCCATGCAATTAATGCAGATATGTTCATACTGCAAACAGTGCACACACCTTAACTTTTAGTGATTTGTGAACCTTCTCCATTCATTTGCTTATTTAATCTAATCTTTTTTGCTACATGATGATTAAAGAATAAAATACAGAGCTACTCATTCCTAGGAAATTGTACTTGTGTATTATCATATTGGAGATAGAAATAAATGTACATATATTAAGCTTGTTTGATAATTTCAACTCTTTTCAATACATAGGCTATTGCTGATATTGAGAAGGCGATCATAGAATCCCTAGACAAGCAGTATGCCGACGTCCTGTCACCATTAAAGGAAAATTTAGCCCCAAAGAAATTTGGCCTCAAGTATGTTCAGAAACTGGCCAAAAGGTCTGTGAGCGCCTATAAGGTCCCTGAAGAGGTTAGTTGACTTTTCCAAAGTTTTGGGGTATCTCGAAGTATTGTAAATTTCTTATTTTATTTTATTTTTTATTTTTATTTTTTTATAAAGAATTTGATATTTGCATTTCAGTTGGGAATTCTGTTGAATTCCTTAAAAAGAATGCTTGATGTCCTTCGTCCCCAAGTCGAAGTTCAGTTCAAATCATGGGGTTCCTGCATTCCGGGTGGTGGGAACACAGTTCCTGGAGAGCGTCTCAGTGAAGTCACTGTAATGTTGAGAGCCAAGTTAAAATATTACCTACAGGCAGTTGTTGAAAAACTCGCGGAGAATGTGAGTATTATTGTGGTTTTCACCTTTCTGTTTGAATTAGTTGTGTTAAAAGAAAAAGAAAATTGCTCGGGAGATGATCCAAGTATAGATAAGATGAATAAAAAGGTTAACGTGTTAATTGCCAATCTGTTACATTGTACAAAATGCCTTTTAAATGCAAATGACCATCGAAGAAAAAAGCGTGTCTTAATGCATGTTCTATGTATGCTACATCTGAGACTGGATTCTGGTGCATAAAGATCTGAATTACTGGTATATTTGTGCAACGATCTGAATTACTTGGCCAATAAAAAGAATTACTCGCCTTCTGCACATGTTTGCAGTAAGCAAGCACTGTCTTCTTCCATTCTGTATACTGTATGGACGCTTAAATTATGTAGTGACTTTTGTAAGTGTAACTGATTTTTGACTTTTATTCCAGTCAAAGTTGCAGAGTGCTACAAAACTGAAGAAGATTCTCCAAGATTCGAAAGAAACCGTGGTAGAATCTGATGTGAGAAGTAGAATGCAGCTTCTGAAAGACCAGCTGACAACCACAGTTAATCACCTGCATACTGTGTTCGGGACTCAAGTCTTCATTGCAATTTGTCGAGGTTATTGGGACCGAATGGGACAGGTAAATTCATCCATCTAACATTTCAAGAATCTGGTGCTCTGAGCTGATGCTTTTGCTTATCTAATGTGGCTCTTTTCCTGTCGCAGGATGTTCTGAGTTTCTTAGAGAACCGAAAAGAAAACAAATCATGGTATAAGGGTTCGCGTATTGCTGTCTCTGTAAGTAGTGATTGAACTCCGAACCTCCCCACTTTTTCTTTCTTCTGTGTATGGCAGTTTCCCTTATAACGTTCGCTCATTCCCAATTACAGATTCTGGATGATACATTTGCATCACAGATGCAGCAGTTGTTGGGAAATGCATTGCAGGAGAAAGACCTGGAGCCTCCTAGATCAATCATGGAAGTCCGGTCGATGCTTTGCAAGGATGCGGCTAATAACAAGGACAATACCTATTACTTTTAGGTATTGTATCAAACACGTCGAATCTGAACAAGTTGGGGAGACAGGTTGCGTTTTCGTATTGAAGTCCATAAGCCGGGCGCTGCATATTTTTGTAGAGGGAGCAAGCAACTCGGCTGCTCTAGAGATAGCAAATGACAATTTTGTCATTCGTCTTCTGGCCGTCTACTCTTGACAGAGTATTAGTCGTTAATTCCTCGGTTAAAAGTAACAAGCAATCCTGTAACTGTTGTTCATCGGTTAGCTTGAAAGCATCGGCATGAAAAATGCCCGGTGTACCAGTGCGGATATGGCATTTTTTTGTACGCTGAATACAAGATTCAGAATCAAATTTGAATATTAGCGGTGAAAGCGATTACTACATGACTTGAACAAAGCCGTACCATCACAGTGAATTCAAACTTTCATGACAACTCTGACATACAAATTCCATTGAACTTCTGAACGTCAAGATACATAAACCGCAAAATCCAAGCCGCACTTACCTTACCTCGTATCTCACCTTGTCAAATAGGCTCAAGGAGCAAATATAACAACAGGATTCAGACACTAGACATTACTGTAACTAACTCCTTCACCACGTACAACCTCACCAATGCGGTAAGCTTTATTAGCTTCATTTGCATCCTCAAGTATTCTGTGAGCTGCCTCTCGACTCACAACAAGAACCATCCCAACACCCATGTTAAATGTTCGCATCATCTCGGCCTCTTCTATTCTTCCAGCCTAGTGATAGAAATAAGAAAAAAATCATAAACAATAGAGTTCATAGTTTCAAGATGCCAGCTCAAAGAGATATATCTAATAAAAGTTTGAAAACCAAAGTTGGGTTCCTAGATGTCGTATATTTATACCTCTTGGATCCATTTGAAAACAGCCGGGACTTCCCAAGAACCATTATAGATGACAGCGCCGAGGCCTTTAGGAAACACTCGAGGTATGTTGTCTGTGAAACCACCCCCTGTTATGTGGGCTATCCCCTTTACACCTCCCTTGCTGATTATGTCAAGGACCTGTTTTTGGTCCATCGAGAAAAAGAGGAGAGCATTTTCAGCAACTAGCAAAACACCAGACGATAAGCACAGATACAAAATAATTGGAAGCAGGTTTTAGTGTTCACCTGCTTAACGTATATCACAGTTGGGGCCATCAAAGCTTCACCTAATGTAATATCTTCTCCGGGTAGCTGATCCTTCAGAGAAAGACCGCTGTGAGCCAGAACCCTGTAAAGATATACCAGATAAAATTCTTCAGGTTAATTGCGTCTATTACATTTAGCACATGAAAACCAGCAAGAACTAATTTTATTTGACTGCACCAACCTTCTTACAAGAGAAAAACCATTAGAATGAACCCCACTGGAGGGTAGGCCAACGAGAACATCTCCAGCCACAATGTTTTTCCCATCAATCACTGCATCTTTTTCCACTACTCCAACAGCAAAACCACTGAGGTCATACTCACCATCTGCGTAAAATCCTGGCATCTCTGCAGTCTGAAAACATATGCAATTCATTGATGCCCTACCTTATCCAAAATATGTATAACATGCGTGCAAAAATAAGAACAAACACCATACACAGACAAATTAACCGCAATTATATATGCTCGGTACAAGCAATTCAGCGAGCCCCTACCTTATCAAAGTATTAACATGTGTGTGGGACAAAAATGCTATATATCCAAATAAACAGCAAAAAAATATGCTTGATATACATATTAACATACGAACTGATTATTAATCATACGTACCTCTCCACCTAAAAGAACACAGTCAGATTGCTGGCAACCATCGACAATACCTTTTACAACCTAGAAAAGGTAAAACAAACACAAAACTTGAGTAAGCTTCAATTAGTGATATGTATTTACACAACCCAAGCAACTCAGACATTGTGAGCTCTACCTTTTCAGCAAGATCAACATTGAGGCGGCTTGTAGCATAGTAATCAAGGAAAAATAACGGCTTAGCACCAGAAGTAACAATATCATTGACGCTCATAGCAACCTGCGAATCGAGATTGATTAGCACAGAAGTAACTAGTCGATGACAATTGTGTACCACATGACAATTCACTTGAAAACAAAATCAGCATTACCAGATCAATACCAATGGTATCGTGAATTCCAGTTTCGAAAGCAAGCTTAAGCTTCGTCCCGACGCCATCCGTGCCGGCAACCAGGTATTTATCATCTGCAATCACCACAAAAGTTCATCATCCCAAAGTAATCCAAAATTCAAACAAACAGAGCACATATCACCCCAAGTAATAAAAAACTCAAACAGCTAGAATAATAATATTCGTACCGAAAGGGAAAAGACCCCCAAAACCTCCAATCCCGGGAGCCATTTTTTTAATTCGCCGAACAAGTTCCGCGCCGGCGTCAATATCAACACCGGCGCCCTTATACGTCAGAGAGTCATACCCGCTGTCACTTCCTCCGGATTCGTTTTTGGAGGCTGAAAGCACGTGGGTTTTCCGGGAAGTTTCGGGGGAGGAAGACATGGACAGGGAGGAGAAGGCGGCGGAGTGAGACCCAGGTAGGAGTGTGCATAGTTGAGTTTGGGCGGAGTCGGGGTTGGAGAAAGGGGGTCTGGGCGAAGTGGGTAAGCAGCGAGAGAGCTGAGTGTTTGGTTTCAAGGAGGAGACCATGGTAACTGAGTGACTAGCTGGGTTTATGCCGAAAGCGACGGAGCTCACAAAGAGAGAGTGGCGGGAATAAAACGCGAGCTGAGGCAATGGCTAGGGTTGTTGTTTCGTAAATTTACATCTCAACCAAAAAATAAAAAGAATAAAAAAAAAAGGAAATTTTATGAAACACTTCCGTTACTGTTATTTTTAATAAAAATGACATATTTGTTGTAGGTATAATTTATTGAATAATTATGGAGGCCATATAGAGAGAGAAGCTGCGACATAGAGAGAAAAAGAGAGATGTGTAATTGTGAGGTGTGTTTTATTCCATCTCATTGTGCATTTATTTATAGTAGTAGGGAATGTTAATTCCTTACCCTTTTAGGATTACAACTCTTAATAGGTAATCAACTCCTAATAGGAATATAAGAGATATTCCAAGATATGCTAGGATTTACACAATCACATTCTTAATCTAAAAGGACAACAACACTCTCCATTGAGTGTGTAAATACACAACTAAATGGTGCATCAGGTCTTCAGTGATGAAGCAAGTACAGTTGATGAAGTCGTCGGCACAATGAGCAAATGTGAGTCTCAGATCAACAGAAGAATGTATAAAAAGTAAAACTCACAAAACCTTGCTATGGTAAAACCCAAGGTGGGAGAAAAACCCATAGGCTAAGGAGAAAAGTGAGAAGTTCCAGTAAGTCAAAACTATACGTCTTTTGGACGCAAGTAGAAGAGCTCACAAGGCTATGATCAGCCCAGGATGGGTGCCTCGTTAAAACCTAGTTAGGTAACAAAAACCCAATGGGAAAAATGCTCCTAATCGTAGGGAAAAATAGTACATTAAAATCAAGTGAGTATACTTCTGGATACTCCCCCTGAGTTTGACATAACTTCCAAATGAGAACTACAAGCATTGCATATGATAGTTAGACATACCAATTCCTCGGACTAGCTTCTGGAATGTTGACTTCGGTAGTGACGTTGTATAGAGGTTGGCAAGGTTGTCTGGGATCGGCTTGCATGACTTCAATCTCCTGATACTTTGCTTATGTAGACGCAATATGTCTTGGCGTTGACTTCGTTAATGTATTATGTCTTGGTTGGGTAGATACATATGGCATAATCTTCATGGATCGTCGTTAGGACTCAACGATAGATGAAAAATAGCAAGTACTTCGAAATGCTCAACAAGAACTTCTAACCATGTCTCACTTGTGGCGTAGTGAAGTAAGGTAAGTCTTGGAACGATTCGAAGGTTTCGCCACTAATGGTCATATCATGGACCTTCAAGATATTGCGATATCCCTAACAGTAAAGACATAATCATTCGGGGATTTTGCCTTGTGTGGGTTTGATAAGTAACCAACATTAGCATAACAACAAGGAAAGCATCATCCGAGGATCAGGTGGGTTGGATCCGCTCGAGATGCATTGGGATTTGCCCTCGTAGTACCTTCAGGGTATATCTTTAATAGCAACTCAGTGGTTGTGTGTAGGTGCATTGCTGCATCTTTACCAACAGATCAACAACAAAAGAGATATCCTGTCTAAAAACAATGAGCTAAGTACAACGAAGAGAAAAGTTGAACTTAGATATGGAATTTCGGATTCTATAACCTCTTAAGGGTTTCATTTGCATATAACGTATGGATAATCAAAGGTATACTCAAGGGTGACACCTTCGAGGTGTAGTTCAACTGGTAGACCAAAATATCATTAGAATAACGCTTCAACTTCAGGTTAAGGTATAAACGAGTTTTCCTAAGATCATTAATCTCAAATTCCATCTTCAGGTGCGAGGCAGTTTTCTCAAACTCTTATGGAGTCTTGTGAGATTCATATCAACGACATAAACTGTAACTTTAGCAATTCGGAATAAGACTTCATAGTTTAACACGCAAGGAAATAATTTATATCCCTGAATGATTAAATAATCACTTAGACGGGTATACCGCATTTGTCGGATTGTAAGTGAACGCCTTAAACAAGTTAAGAGGGTGTTCCATGGTTTTGGAATTATTTGAACCAGTCCATATAATTATTCAGGAACTTACATATAAATCTCTGTATCTATATCCCATGGAGAAACACTAACCATATTTCATAATGCTGCTATCAATCATATGACGTTTTGAGAGAAACCTTGCGCCGTAAGGCGTGCATCATATCGCACTATTTTATTCATCTCATAACTCTTCCTTTCCATCTTGTAACACAATAGGATTACCTTGGGTAGTGTAGGAACGACAGGGGCGAACACACTTTGGTAAGAAATTTGACCTGGATTGTAATTTCGGTTGTCCAATCAGTTCTATGTTGTCACTTAATCAATAGAACACGGTTCGATATCGTCACTTTTCATTTATGTCAGTAGCTACCATATAAGTGAAAATATCATCGATGGTAATCTCATTTCAATTCCATTTAGCTCATCCAAACTAGTATACTGGATTAAGAACTTCAAGTCTCGCGAGTAATCCGGATTAATCTCATGAGATGGAAATGATTTGAGACAGCGATCAAGTATGGATTCATTGTTATGTCGGGTCTTACTCTTCTAGGGAAGTGAATCCTATGAGCCGAGTGATCTGTCATGCTCCAAGCCAAGACAAATTGATCGGCTATCCGTCGGTGTACCGGATTGTCTAACATGGGCCTCCAAACCATCCAACAGGGGCGGCACACCCTCCAGGGATGTTAACTCGACGTCTGTTA